CAAAGCTGGAGGCATCATGTGCCATTTCAAACTATATTAGAAAGCTATAGTAATCAAAATGGTACAGTATTGTTTTATAAATAAAAGACACAGTGGTCAATTGAAGAGAATAGAGAGTCCAGAAGTAAACCCACACATCTATGGTCAATTAATTTACTACAAAGGAACCAAAAATACACAATGTGAAAGGAGTCTTTTTAATAAATGGTGTTGGGAAAATTGGACAGCATATGCAAAAGAATGAAACTGGACCATTGTTTTACACCATACACAAAAATTAACAGAATTAATTAAAAACAAATGTAAGACTAGAAACCATAAAACTCCTAGAAGAAAACACAGGCTGTAAGCTCCTTGACACCAGTCTTAGCAATGATTTTTTTTTGGAGGGGGTGGGATTTGATAGTAAAAGTGAAGGCAACAACAGTAAAACTAAATGAGTAGGACTATACAAAACTAAAATGCTTTTGCACAGCAAAGGAAACCATTGATAAAATTAAAAAGCAACCTTCTGAATGTGAGAAAATATTTGCAAATCATACATCTGATAAAAATTTAATACCTAAAATATGTAAAGAACCCATACAAGTCAAGAACAAAAAAGATCCAGTTAAAATAACTGGCAAAGAATCTGAATAGACATTTTTCCAAATAAGACATACAGATGGCCAACAGGTACATGAAAAGATGCTCAACATTATTAATCATCAAGGGGAAGCAAAACTACAGTGATATATCACCTCACATCTGTTAGTATGGCTAATATTTTTAAATAATTTTTCATTTTTCAATTACAGTTGTTACAATATTATAGTAGGTTTGGGGATACAACGCAGTGATTAGACATTGTATAACTTACTAAACAGTCATTTCAGTAAATCTTGTACCCATCTGACACCATGCAGTTATTAGAATATTATTGACTATATTTTATATGCACTTTACATCCCCATGACTATCCTATAACTACCAATTTGCACTTCTCTTTTTGTTTTCATCTGTGTTTACCTGAGGATGCACACATTGATTTTAGAGAAAGGGGAAGGGAGGGAGAGAAAAAGGGAGAGAAACATCAGTTGATTGCCTCTTGTACGTGTCCTGAGTGGGAACTGAATCCTCAACCCTTAAGTATGTGCTTTGACCGGGAATCCAACTGTGACCTTTTGGTTTATGGAATGATGCTCCAAACAACTTAAACCACACCAGATAGGACCCAATTTGCACTTCTTAATCCCTTTACCTTTTTCACTCATCCCCCCGGCCTCCCTCCCATCTGGCAACCATCAAAATGTTCTATGTATCTATGAGTCTGTTTCTGTTCTATTAGCTCATTTATTTATTTATTAGATTCAATTGTTGATAGATATGTACTTATTGCCACTTTATTGTTCATGGTTTTGATTTTTTCCTTCTTCTTAAAACCCCCCTTTAACATTTCATATAATACTGTTTTGGTGGTAATGAACTCTGCTTTTTCTTGTCTGGGAAGCTCTTTATCTGTCCTTTGATTCTAAAGGATAGCTTTGCTGGATAGAGTAATCTTGGGAGTATGTCCCTGCGTTTCATGACTTTGAATATTTCTTGCCAATCCTTCTGCCCTACAAAGTTTCTTTTGAGGACTCAGCTGACAATCTTATGGGAGCTCCCTTGAAGGTAACTAACTGCTTTTCTATTGCTGCTTTTAAGGTTCTCCCTTTGTATTTAACCTTTTGCATTTTAATTATCAAGCATTTTAGTATAGGCCTCTTAGGGTTCATTTTCTGGGGGGCTCATTATACTTCCTGGACATGTATGTCCACTTTCTTCACCAGGTTAGGGAAGTTTTCTGTCATTATTTTTTTAAATAGGTTTTCAATTTCTTGCTCTCTCTCTTCTCCTTCTAGCACCCCTATGATGCAGATGTTGAATGTTTGATGTACTTGAAGTCATCCCAGAAGCTCCTTACACTATCCTCTTTTTTTGGATTCATTTTTTCTTTTTACTGTTCTGATTGTGTGTTTATTGCCTACTTACCTTCCAAATCTCTGATTTGATCCTCTGTTTCATCTACTCCACTGTTGATTCCCAATAATGTATTCTTTATTTCAGTTAGTGTATCCTTCATTTCTGACTGGTTCTTTTCTGTGGTGTCCATGTCCTTTCTTCTGCTGTTGAAGTTCTTACTAAGTTCATTGAGCATGCTTATCACCAGTGTTTTGAACTCTGCATCTAGTAGATTGCTTATGCCATTTTCGTTTAATTCTTTTTCTGGAGTTCTGTTCTTTCATTTGGGACATGTTTATTTGTCTCCTCATTTTGGCAGCCTGTTGCTTTGTATTAGGTATAGATGCTATACCTCCCAGGCTTAGTAGAGTGGTCTTTTATGTAGTAGGGTCCTGCAGGGTCCAGTGGCACAGCCTCCATGTTCACCCAAGATGGACAGTCCAGACACACCACCTCCAACCCTGTAGGATATGTACACTCTCCCATTGTAGTTGAGCCTTGATTGCTGTTGGCACATCAATGGGAAGGATTTACCCTCAAGCTGATGGGCTACAAGGACTGGGTAAACACTGAGGAGGATCAGCTGTGCAGGGGCCTACCCATGGAGCAGGACTTACTTTAGTGGGGGCTCTGGCACCTGCTGAGTCCACACCTTGAGTCTCTCACTTGTGGAGTTGGTTAGCTGGTTCTTCAAGGTGGTCTGAAGCTGTCCACTAGGTGTGCTGGCTCTGGCTTCTCCCAGGATGTACAGGCCAAGGTCAGCCACTGCCTATGTTCTGCTTCTGTCCACAGCATGAGCTACAGTGCAATCTGAAGATAGATAGCTGCTGTTTGTATTGGGCTTAGAGGTATCGAGGAAAGGCCAACCTGTGAACCAAGGCTGGCTGTCACTAGTGCCAGGCCTAGGACTACTTCATGAGTGGTATGGGGCACACTGAGGTCAGATGCTACTTGTTTGAAATATTTTAGGAAAGTCCAAAGCATGAGCCAAAACAAGCCATTTTTCGGGAAAAGCCACTGGAAACAGCTTGGGTATGCCCACAAGTTGGGTGGGGTAGGTTCTCAGGGAATCTCCAGGGTGGGACAAAAAGTGTTAGCCAGGTTGATGGAGACTCAGATATGGAGCCCACCTGCTGGTGATGTGTGGGGAGGGCTCAGCAATGGATCAGTGGCCTTTGCTAGGATGTCTGTCTGCCCCTTCAGCTCTCACGCTGATCAGGCCAGACACTTCAGTTGCTCCCCATATGTCTCTGGTGCCTTTCAAGCTGCTGCCCCAGTACTGGAGCTCAGAGTGAGCCCAAGTACCATATTTTGCCATATATAATGTGCACCAATGTTTTGTGTGCATTATTCATGGGATTATTACACCCCATTGTTATATCCATGGTGTGTAATCATTATACCCATGTATAATTCACATCCTTATTTTTCCCTCAAAAATTTGGGCAAAAAAATGCACATTATACATGGCAAAATACGTTAAGTCCATGTGTGGGCCTTTTAAGGGAAATGTGTGGGAATCTAGAAGCCCTCCGTTTTATTCATTCACAATATATGCCGACTTTTACAGCAAAAAATTATGGGGACTTATCTTCCTGACACTGGAATCCTGGGCTGAGGGAACTGGTGTTGGGCTGGGACCCCTTGCTCCTTAGCAGGGACCTCTTAAGCCTAGATGCCACTCCCAGTTTTTATCTGCCACACATGAGCGTGGGACCAGCCCGTTCCGTGTCTCCACTTCTCCTGCATGTCTGGATGTGGCTTCTTCTTTACATACTTAATTGTAGGCCTTCTGTTCAGCTAGATTTCAGGTGGTTCTGAATGATGATTTTTCTATAGTTGGGTTGTAATTTTGATGTAGTTATGGGCCGAGGTGAGTGCTGCATTTACCTATGCTGCCACCTTGACCTAAAACCCAGAATGGTAGTATTCAAAAAACAGCTAATAAATAACAAGTGTTGGTAAGGATGTGGAGAAAAGGAAATGTAAATTAATGCAGCCATTCTGAAAAATAGCATGGAGGTTTCTCAGAAAATTAAAGCTAGAATTACCGTGTGACTCAGCAATTCCAGCTGTTGGAATATAGCCAAAGGAAATGAGAACCCTATGTCAGAGAGCCATCCGCAACCCCATATTCATAGCAGCACCATTTACAAAGCCAAGATATGGAAATGTTTAAAGAAGTTATGGTGTGTATATTATTCATCCATTAAAATGCAATATCTTTCATCCATTAAAAAAAGAAGGAAATCTGCATTTTGTGACAACATGACACTATGCTAAGTGAAATAAGTCCGACAGAGAAAGACAAATACAGCAGGTCCTTGCACAACATCATTTCGGTCAGTGAGCTTTAGTTATAATGCTAATGAGATACCTTAGGAGCTTACCTCTTGTTTATAGCAATTATTCAATGGTAAAATTGGTTTCATTATAATTGATTCACTAAAAATTGCAGAACCTATTGGCAATGTTAAATGAGGGCTTAGCATACTGTATGATCTCACCTACATGTCAAATGTGAAAAAAAAAAACAACTATGGAAAAGGATATCAGATTTGTGGTTACCAGAGCTGGGGTATTGGGTGAAGGTGGTCTACAAGCTTCTAGTAATAAGGTAAATGAGTACTAGGGGTGACTATAGCTAATACTGCTGTATGGCACACATGCCAGTTGTTAATTGAGTAAATCTAAGAGCTCTCTGTACAAGGAAAAAATTTCTTTTCTTTTGTATCTATATGAGATGATGGATGTTAACTAAACATATCATGGCAGTCATTTCACAGTATATTTAAGTCAAACTCTTACACTGTACAGCTGAAACTTATACAGTGCTTATGTCAATTATATCTCAGTAGAATTGGATTTTAAAAGCTTGACATAGACATACCATTAAAATAAAGAATTCAGTGTTTCATTTTGGCTGTGCCATACCCCGGGGGAGAGGGAGGGTAGGACAAGCAAACTGTGCCCAACTTAGAAGTTTTGATCATGCTTTAAAATTTCAAATTTTCCAGGTTGTATCCACGCCATGCAAGTGCTCTGAACAACCTTGGGACACTGACAAGAAACACAGCAGAGGCGCAGATGTACTATCAGAGGGCTCTCCAGCTAAGCCCGCAGCACAGCCGCGCTCTGTTCAATCTCGGGAATCTCCTTAAGTAAGTGGCTTGTGTACCTTTGATCGGGTGGCCTTGTGATTCCCAGAAATCCTTTTCTTCTCAGCACTTACTCAATTATGCTATTGTCTCGTCTTCCAAGAGTGGAATAATTAGGGATCTTGAGCTTTGAGAAGATTCAATATTCATCTGATTAATTCTGTCCCTTATCGGTCAAGAAGAGTATTTTCTAGAATGTCTTTCGGGAAGTATTAGCTCTGGGAGATGTTCACAGTGTCTGCAGAGAGGTGGAATTAGGGAAGAATGACATGGCCAAATAAACTCAGGAAATGCTGAATTAAACTAAGGATAGTTCCTTTAATGCAAGAATTTCTAATGTGCTAAAGGTCCTGTGAACCCTCAACGGGGGAATATGGAACACAGCATCTTCCAAGTCAGTCTTTTTTCGGTAGGGCATTTCCCAAGTACGTCATGAGTATACTTCGGGAAAAGTGCTGGTGTGGGAAAAGCAGTCTGCTCTGCAGGTATAACCAAATGTCCTAACCACAACTCTGCCCCGTTTGTACTGTAGGTAAGGAACCAAGGGAGGTGTGCCTGGAATTAGTAATGAGTGGAGTAACTCTTTAAGGAAGGCCTCTTGGGCATAATCACTGGTGATGGCTTTTCACTCACTGCCCTGTAAAAGGTTAATAGTGCAATTAGTGTCACAGAAGACGAACACAAAGGGGTGCTTTTGCATCTTGTACTTTTAGGAATAGGAAGTCTAGGCACGGAATGTTGGTGATGGTGCTGGCAATGATCATTTAACGTCTAAACTTAAAAACTAGGTTGAACACATTAGAAGTGGGCATTAAAGGTAAAAATATGGCTGGAATCAGGTTGTAGTGGTGTATTTATCTGTACTTGTTAGGATCCAACAATGTATGCACGTGCTGAATTGGCTTCCGTGTCTCTGAAGCTCTAGAGAGCACGTTCAGTATCTTAGAGGTTAACGTTGTGCTGTGCTCTTTTATCGTCTCCCGAACAGGATTGTCCTACCTGTCTCGGTAGCTACTGTGATGCACCTGCTTCACCTTCCTGTTTACTCCTTAAATATTCCTTATACATATAGATGTTGCTACTCAGTGTTCCCTTTAAAAATAAACAAATCAAATGTTTGGGGGGAAATGAGTTCTAATTGTAGATAACTAGTTACAGGGTGTTTTTACTTTACTCTTTTTATAAACTCTTAGTTCTTTATGTGAACGTCTAAGGACTTATTTTTTTAAGTCATTGTTACAATACATCTGTATGTGCTCTAACTTAGAGCCCAAATAACTTCACATCTGGGTAGAAGCCTACCCAGTATTTGGGTGAGGGGCATCCATGGATAATATAGTACTGATTTCGAAAATCATGTAGATGAGTATTTTCCCCCCAATTTTTAGCTTCAGTGGCCTGTATATGAAGTGCTGTTTCTTGTTAGGAGTGATATCCTGCAGTTATGATTATCATAATGTGCTGGATGTGCCTCAATTCGAAAATAATGGCAGAAATTTTTAAAAATTTCATCTGGTCAAGACCTGAACAAGAGAGGTATACTCTAACCTTCCGTTTTCAATTGTCCTATGATTGCCACTGACTGTTATCTTGAATTAGTACATGTGGGTTAAAAGTACAAGGAAATATTTTTTGGAGCATGGCGATGACTGCTTTTCACAGCAGGAGGGACTCCTGGGTACCCGACAGAGGACGGCTTCCCTTTCAGTAAAATCAGCTCTTGATTGTCACCCAAACCAGCAACAATGCATTACATTTGTAGAGGATTGCAGCACCCTGAGTGCTCTTGTAATGAGACCCTCCCAGGAATGGGTGGGTCAAGGTCCCAGCCCAAGGACCAGTTAAAGTCCCCGCTAGTTAAGTGTCTGTGCAAAGCCACATTGTCCAACGGCTGCGCTTTCACATTATGCCAGAGAGCAAAGTGGCTGCATCTGTGTAAATTATTCTCAGAATCCAGTAGAATAAAATTATCATAACAGCTAACATTTATGTAATGCTTTCCAGTTTACAGATGTGTTTTTACATCCATTACTTAATCTTCAAAACAAATTGCTGTGAGGGGTATTATGATTCTCATCCCCATTTTACAGATGAGAAAACCAAGATTTGGAGATTTCTTCTGACCTTGGTTTAGGCTGAGGCAGACCCAAGACTGAATTCCTGCCCTCAGACTTTTATCCTGTTCATGTTCCACTACCCCTGATGCTCAAATAATTCTTATATCCAAAAATTATCTAATATTTAGCTACTTAATGGTATACGATTGCCTTTTGAGAGAAAGGTCCTTCCTGTTTTTCTTAAGCAAACCATAAAGGCTGTTTCCACCATACCCCTCCATAGCAGAGAGAGGTGACTCACAAAGCAGCAGAGCCCATCCGCATTTGGATGATGCCAAGTTTTATTTTTGCTTTCCTTAGCGTTTTTCTGCTAAGTAGCAATGAGTCAAAGGTGAAAAGAGGAAAGAATATTATAAATTTGGTTTGGTTTGATCCATTTTACTATTTATTTAAGATTCATACTACATTTATTTCTCATTAGGCAGCTTTTTTTTTCATCCTCACCCAAGGACTTGTTTATTGATTTTATAGAGAAGGGGAAGAGAGGGGGAGAGAGAGGGAGAGAAACATCCATGTGAGAAAGAAACATTGAGTGGTTGCCTCCTGTATGTATGCGCCCCACCTGGGGACCAAACCTGCAACCTGGGTGTGTGACCTGACCAGGGGTCAAACCCTCAGTCTTTTGGTTTACAGGATGATGCTCCAACCAACTGAGCCACACAGACTATGGCTAGGCAGCTAACTGTTAAAAATTGTGCCCTTTCTTGTAATATGGAAATTAATGCTCATTCTAAGAACTTAAGATATCTCTGCAGATATGAGCAGGTTAGATTGGAGTAGCAAGGTGCTTAGGGAATAAACAGAAGACCTGGGAATTGAACCTAGATCTGTCTGACCCAGTCCCCTCACTCTGTATCACCGCACTCCACTGCCCCCTTGTGGCTCATCTGAACTTCGATGCACCCTAAAGCAGCACTACCCAATGGAAATATGAGTCAGAATTTGTAATTTAAAATTTTCAGGTGATTGTATTTCATAACATAAAACATGTAAAATTAATTTTAATAATATGTTTTATTTTAACCTAATATATCCAAAATACTATCATTTTAACATGTTATTGATCTTAAAAATTAATTTTATAACTGAACATGTAGAAATATTAATGAGATAGTACACATTCTTTTATATAGTTAATCATTGAAACCCAGTATATATTTCACACTTACAGGACATCTCAGACTACTTACATTTCAAGGGATCAACAGCCACATGTGGTTAGTGGCTACTATATTGGACAGCACAGACCTTAATTAATGCCCTTGACTTTGAGAGCAATGTGAGCCAGAAGCTCTAAATAAGATGTGTTTCTTTTAGAAGATCTTAGACATCTTATAGTGCTGAGGACGAATTTTACTTGAAGTTTTGGAATTTTGTGACAGGCAGCCTCAGATCTGTTCCCAGCAGTAGACTTCCCTGATGCTATCCAAATACGTCCGGCCTTTTTCAAGACCCCTTCACTGGACTCTGATCTATCATGAGTCTGTGGAGCACATTTACAGTGGGACAGATGGATAAGGAAAAACTTTCCATGCCAGTGTTCTTAATTTATATTATTGTTGGCCTTACTTGGAACCTAACATGTAAGAGAAAATAGACAAGATTAGCCTAAACTTTTTGTGAATGAAAAGAGCAAAAGTCCCTGATGGCTAAAAAGAATATAATAGAATATTGAAATTCAGGGCATGAGGAAATATTTCTGTGACTGCTTTCTGTGCCTGTAAAATAGTTGCTGGAGTTTGAAACAGAATACGAAAAGAACCTCTTAAAGAATCACATTATATACCCCTCATTACCAAAAGCACCTTCCATTCATATGATTAGCTATAGGTGTTACATGGGACTTATAATAAATTTTATCATCAAAACTCAGAAGAAAATGAAATAGAACGTCCAATAATTAAACTGCAAAGAAGATGAATTTGATAACAGCATACATTTCATTTTCTTTAGTCCTATCCTTTAGAAAATTTAATATCTAGAGAATAGAAGAACCCAGAAAGCATAACCATTGTCTTTGAAATAAACTTAAATGTTAGTGATAAATTTTCTTACAGCTTTGATACTAGCCACACCACGTTTTATTTCATAAAAATGAATTTTATACCCTTGAGATAGTAGTTTTCTCCTTCTCTGGGAAATTATCTCCTTCAGTTATTAACTGAAGCCCCAGAGAATCCAAAATACCACCCCATTGTATAAAGAAAAACATGTTCGGGTTCTTTCCACCACATTAGGATTTCAACTTTGAGGGCACAAGTTCTGCATCCTCTCCTTGGAGTGAAGTCCTGCTCCGGCCCCCATGGTGACCTATTAGTCTCCGGGTTTCCTCCAACTTTTCTTACCCATAGTCTCAACCCCATTACAGTTCTTCCCCCTCATCTTCACTGAGCTCACACCCGTCTCTCTCCCCGGGTCTCCTTCCCCCAGCTCTTTAGAAGCCCAGTCCAGCATCTCCCTCACTCATCTCCATCCTCATTGCTGCCATCTCACAGTCTTCTGTACCCTATCCCCTCGTCCTCGGGGGCTCAAGCACCAGAGCAGTGACTCTTCTTGCTCCCAGCCCATGCTGCCATTTGTAGCAAATGCAAAAATTACATTCATTGCCTGGTTCCTCTGCTGCCTGCATTGCAGGGCCCTCCAGTCCGCCCTCCTTGGGCACTCACCCAATGGCCATGCTGTGGGCTTTTTAACTGTGCAGACCTGTGCATTCAACACCTGAATTCCGAAATGTTCCTCTTTGACCTTAACCTCTTACTTCCGCCCACCTTCCCATCCTGCTTTCTGTCACTTCTGCTGACCTATTGACGGAGTGATGATTTATGACCTGCCACTTTCTAGCTCAGTTGTCTTCAATTCCTCTGGCCTTGTCCTTCACCATCATTA